AAAGATTAAAACTATGTGTGTTTCATATTATGAGCTTGACACCCCCATAATTTTTGTATTATTTTTTTTATTTTTTTTTTTTTATTCCAACCCCATCTTCTAATATTGTGTTAGTTCCTTCTTTATTATAACCCTATATATGCAAACATAATATGTGCTTTATTACATAAGAGCTATGTGTATTCTTATATTACAGTAATCTTTACATATGTACATACACACATGTTATATAAATTTCCTCGAAACGAAATAATTACGTTGACCTGATGAAAGTGGTATTATAGGTTTAATGAAAATTATAAAGAAGCCAAGAGAAATAAAAAAAAGAAATAAGAGAAAACACCAATTTCTAGGAGATTGCAAGCAAAAAAAAAAGAAAAAAAAAATGAAATTCATTTTCATGTGGTTACGGACATATCATTGCATCATATGGTGGATATAAAAGAAAGCAAGTACAATTGTTAACGCTTTAAATGTATTAAATATATAAATATATTATACTTAGATATATTCAAACCTACTTGTCCTTAATAAACACCATATAAATTTAATCCTCTCATTTAAGCTTAAAATATATAACGGTACGTCAAAAATATTGTAATAAAAGTATGCGTATATTGTAGATTGAGTGAATGTGGCACTAAGAAAAATCTCATCTATAGGACATTTATTGTAGGAGAACGACCGATACGTCAACTGTATACGAGAGACGTGGTCGTTTTTAAAGTCGTGAACTTAAACTGATTTTATAGTATAATACAGTCTGGCATAGAGGTCGAAAGGTAGAAAAAAACAGAGAGCAGCTTTTTTAAAATCTTTACAAATAGTTAACCGTTCATGTAGTCAGATCATTTTTGTTTAGGAAACAGCTAAAAATTGAATTTGAAAGCAATCCTTCGAAGTGGGTTAGAAAACCTTTAAACTATTAGTTAAATTGTCACATAACATACAATAACAATAAGATTTATCAAGATATATTATTATTAATAACAAGCCGTCATGTTGGTGTAATAACAAAACGGCATTGTGTTGTTTTTCTTCTTCACCCCTGGGTGGAGTTAACGGCTGATGTATGATGTTGTACATAACTATACCTCAGTTTCTTGCGTTATAATATTTTTAACGAGGTAGGCGACTAGCCTTCCATAGTTTTTTCTTTATATTAAATATTTAAAATTATTTATATTTTTTGTTTTATTTGGGTAGTATTGAATATAATTTTTATAGTGACCTGACTAAACTATGAATCTTTTGGTTAAAGAACATGTGCAAAAACCACTCCGCCATGGTTCAGGTCAAAATCTGAATAATCCTTATAATATGTATATAGAGAACAATTGCATATCAGTCAAAAATTTTCACTAAATTTTGCATGCTACCATTTTCTATTATAGAAAAATATAAAATGATTAGAACAACGAATAATCAGAAAAAAAAAAAAACTAAAAACATAGAGAAGAATGTATGTATATAATATTAAATTCTCGGGATGGCTCAGTAAAAGCCTCAGAATATAAAAAAAAAGAAAAAGCAAAGTGATATTCATTAAAAAGAAAAAAAACAACCAAGCAAAAATATAGAAAATACTCTACATATGGCCATGTTACTCCAGGATTAAAAATCCTTTTCATTTCAAAAGTTGAATTATTTTCTCATTTTTCCATTTTCCTCATCTCTATATCACATGTGCTATATTTTCGGTATTTTTTTTTTTTTACACTCTCCTCTACATAACAAGTGTATTCTTCTCCACTTATTTCTATATATGAATTTTTAAGAATAACTTATATAACATTATAGATATAAGCTATACTATATATAATATACTTAATATTTGCAATTTATTCCAACCCAAAAATAGATAATGTGCCATAATAATACAAGTATAGAGGCAACAATATATACAATATGTTAGAATACAATCTAGTATAGTTAATAGAGTAGCATCAGCCTGGTGTATTATAGATTAAAACCTCCTGCGGTGAACTTAATAAAAAGGATTTTGTTATTTTTATATCTAATTTTTTTTTGAGAAGATTGTCCTTATATTAAAGAATCTTATGCATATATGTATAGCTTCTTTTAGAGTATTTTCATATACACATAATATACTCATATGTATATATGCACTAAGTAGTTTTTTGTTTTGTTTGTAACCAAAAAATGGAAAGCAAACGAAAAAAAAAAAAAAACAAATCTACTCTTCATCATTGTCATCATCATGGTCACAATTATTACAATATCATATATCTACACTACATACACTTATCATACACTTATTCAGTGATACCCTTAAAAAATACTCATATTTTAATATGAAAATTACAAAAATGTATGTGCGAATGGCTTAGATTACAGTGCAATTCAAGAAGTACCTAATTAAACTGACGTTGTAGGTATGCGGATGTTTTATTGGGGATAGTTTGGGTCATTTGACATTCGTGATAACTGCTAAAATGTAGTTAGATGTCCTTGAGAACCAGTTAAAACCATTACTTTTAACTCATTTTTCGAGTACAAATGAATTCATCTTCCAGCACGATAATGCAGCCGCCAATACTGCACAAAAGGTATTTGAGATTTCTTGTTAAAGAGAATACCATTGTCATTCGGAAGTATCAGATTAATACGACACCATTTTATTATTTCCAGCAATTCATTTGCGACAAATAATACAAAACAATTCTAGTTCATAATAGCCCTATTATGATAGCTTTAACATGGCACAACCTTTTTATTTTCACGAACATATTTGCAACTAATAATGCAAAACAATTTTAGATCTTATCTTTTTTGTTGACCTTATCCAGACCTTATCTCTTTTGGTTTAACAACAAATAGCCATTATTTGTCAATTTGTCCCCATTTTTATGAATACTACTGTATATATATATGAATTTATAATGGTTTTCTTATGATGTTACCGAGATTATGATGATTATTAGAATGAAAAGAACAACATCAACAGCAACAACAATGTTAAATACTATTAGATGAATTTTAATATAATTTTTATGAAAATCATTTTTATTAAAAATATCTTTGAATGCCAAAATTAATTTTCTTTAACTTAATTATTATCCTGGAAAAATACCTTTTTTTTTTCTTCATAACTAATTCTTTTCTAATTATTATGATTTTTTTCTTTTCTCTTTTATTATTATTATAATAATTTTTATGTAATATTTAAAATTAATTTCTTTAAAGAGTGTTAAGAACATTTTAACAGCTTATATTCGCATTAACATTTAGTATACAATAATTAGAAATGTTGACACTTTTAATAATTTTTATGTATAATTAAGAATCTTGTTAAATCTCTCTTATTTTAGCCCCTTATCTTATTATGGAAGGAATAAATCAAATGAAAGTGACGACGATAATTTCTTATTAAAATGTTGGATATGCTGACTATACGAGTAATATGTATAGGTCTATTAGATTATAAATTAAATAAATATTAAGTAATTCACGTAGACTGTTCCATTACCGCGTAAAGAGTTAGAAAGCGTATTGTTGATCTAGTTAACCGATATAATTGCCGTCGGTTATGATGACATTCGGTCGAATGAAAATTTTGCTCAACTAAAATACCACCTTATCGGCTAAAAGAGTGCCATTTATATGGATTTGGGTGACCTTGAAGTAAGTGATGAAATAAGAGACTGTATGAGATGAAACATAGGGTGCTTTCGGAGCAGCATATAAAAATTGAGGCCTGTTGACTTATAGAGGAGAGGGTTGGGAAAGAACGAACGATTCAGCTTAAAATGCTGAGACGGTGCCTTTTGTGTCTGCCTTCCTGGTTCAAGTTGTGTGTCTTCTTTCACGGAATGTAGACACAAAACCTCGAATAAGCAAAACTAGTGGTTATTCAGTTAAAACAGAATATACACAAAAAATACTTAACACAAATGGATGTGTAAATACCAAAATCAGACGCAATATATAAACGGATTGTTTGAATCAAAACCTTATATTTTTTCCAAAAATTCCATATTAAATTAAAGAATACACATGCATTTTTTACACACTTAATGTCCATTACACTTTTATGTTACAAAATGTTTTCATTAAAAATTTCATTTTATACATTTTATTGATATTATTGTAAATTTAAATCAGATTAACGAAAATAAATTACGATATTCCATAAGAATAAAAAAATTTAAAATTTAATTTAAAATTTCAATACAAAAATTCTCAAAATACAAAATATATCAGCTATAAGTATAACAAGCAGCATGATATTTTAAATCTGATGATATATTGACATATTAATCTAGTTTCTTATTATATTCGTATATGAACATTTTTCTATTTATATACAAGCATATGTCCATATATTATACAGTACCTAAGTGTATATTATGTAGAATTTCTGGATATGAAGTTCAAATAATAGAAATTTTATTAAAACTAATCACATACAAAAAGAGTTATAATTAAATTTTTTCCCCCTCTATATATAAGGACTTTTATTTTAATAATATTTTATTCATATATAAACAATATTATTTAATTATTTATTTTTTTATCAAAAGATTGTATAATAATTATTTTATATAAGATTTTTTATTGATTTAAAGTTACCAATTTTTCATAAAAATACTGATGGGTTAAATGTTTATCCGAAGGGCACGTACCACGACAAATAAAATTTGTAGAAAAAATTCGAACGTAACTGAGGATCACTCGGGTTCTGGAATATTTTTTGGAATTGATAATTATATTGGACGTTATTAAACCAAGCATCATCGCGAACATTTGATCTTCATAAGAATATTGTGCCTGAATTATGACTAAAGAAAATGAGGGCAATTATGAGTCTGAAACAAGACCGAAATATTGCTTGCGAATTTCTTTTAAATTTTCATTATGAAGCTTCAGTTGATTCTAAAACGAGATACGTACAAAATATCTGTGCTCGCTTAACCTTTTTCTTTTAAGTTTAAGTCTCAACTTTACTTTTAATATTACCCTTTTTTTTATCATTTCAGATCGTTTTCATCGGCTGAATGGGAACAAATTTGACAAATGAGAGCCAAAAGCCTAAAACCATTATGAGCCATTTCTTTTATATAAGTTTTTGGTAACACGGTAAGTCTCATGATATTTTCAATAATAATTTATTAAAAATTATTTTTTTACTCCTTTCTCTTTTCTTGTGAGCCTTTATAAAAAGATCCGAGTTAAAAAATAAATATGTAATTAAAAGTTTCAGTTAAAAAAAATAAATAATAGACCTTAAATATTAAGATTTTCTTATACTTTTTCTAATTAATATTTACGTTGATGTCTCTGTCTATTCCAGAATATTGACTATTATTATTAATATATTACATATTACCGAATGTCCTTTATAGTCTTCTCTCATTATGTTTTTTTTTTTTTAAGAAAAGAAAATTATATTAATCTAGAGTTAAGGGAAAATTTTTGTCACAAATAAATTTTATATATAAAATACTTCAATGGTGGAGAGAAATAGTCGCATAATTATAATTTAAATTCTTCAATAAATTTATAGAAAAACAAAATGGCGAAGCTTCTTTTGGATTACGGCAACAATAAGGTATTCAAGTGAGTATCAAGATCGGTATCTTCTATTAGAATTGACGCTGAAGTTGTTGGAATAACTTCGCCACTGTAACTTCTACTAAATATTGGACACTAAATTACTTGTTCCTTGTCCATTTCCATATAGTTTTCTAAAGTAAAGAATATCATTAATTTAGAAATCATAATTTTACACATTTTAAACTAATATTTATTAAATTGGAAGAATTGAAGTCCATAAAACGAGTTTTTTACTCAAAAATATGAGAGAGTGAGAATGAAAATTTATTGAGTAACTTTCTCTTCATGCTCTCTTTCTGAATAGGCAACTGCTCCAGTTAATTGATCGCAAGTATTAAAATTAATATTTTTATTGTTATTCAACTTTGCACCATTGCAAGCTCGTAGATTTTAATATAATAATTATTGAAAATATATTTTTTATCGTATTTTATAATTTATAAATATTTTATTTCTTTTTGTAAATGTATGTGAGTGGATTATGTTGTGGACTTAAATTGACATTTTAAGGAACACAAGCCAATTTTTTTTTTTTTTTGATTTTGTTTGTTTTTTTTTATTATTATTATTAAATGTCAAAAAATATAAAAACGTTTTCTCTTTTAATTTATTGACAGTTGAGTGACATTGAATAGTGTTTTGTATTTTTATGTTTTGTTCTCTTTTTTTTCTCTTGTTATTATCCAGTATTAGAGTAAAATTTTCCTGGAAAATCAAAGAAAATTTTGTTTTTATTAAAAAAAACAAAAAGCTCGTAAATAAATCTTAAAAATTTTATAATTATGTTTTATTAATCCATTTTCATTAGTGAGTTTTAATTTTAATTTTTGTTTTTTAAAAAATAATATGAAAAAGTTTTGGAAGGATGTTCCTAGGTATTCGCGATTATTTTAAATATTTAGAGCATATTAAAGAAAAAAAAAATTTTTTTTTTTATTAATTAACATTATTTTATTGTTTTTAATAAAATTAAAATGGTTTTTATTTAAAAACAATATGGTAGGAGTGGACTTGAAAGAGTGCATGAGACTAAACACGAGCTATTATATAATGTCAACATTATTAATTAAATTTGTTAAAAAAAAAAAAGAAAGTAGAAAATATTCGGTTAATGTTTAAATTATTTCAAGCGTCTCATGTCATGATTTTAAAATTTTTCAAAAAAATTTGAATTTATTTATAATTAATAAATTATAACCTTAACTTTAGCATTTTTGAAATTATTTTTATTTAATAAGTACACACGTATGTACATATGTATAATTGTTCGACATAAAAATCAACAGTTCATGATTTTATAAGCATTCTCAGACAGCAAAGAATTTAGAGTTTGTTTTTTTTTCTTTAATTAAATTATTAAATAAATATTGCATTGATGGAAGATTTCAAGAATCACTTAGATTTTAATAGAAAACATTTTTAGTGAGGGTTAAGCTTGAAACAGTTTTTAAAATTTTTAAAAAATAAATTTAAAATAAAAAACCGTCGGCAAATAAACTCTATTTTTAAAAACTTGCAATTTAATTAATTTTGTTGCATTTACTCATGAAATTCGGACTATATGTACAAACTACCACCACAAATCGAATTAAATTACATAGATCAAATTTTCATTTGCTTTAACACAGGCAATTATGTGTCCCAGTTTCGAACCCAACTAAGACTACTCTTTATTTGATTCGGAAAATTCATTCCGAAAAATTCGGAAATTCATTCCGAAAAATTCGGAAATTTATTCCGAAAAGTCAGTATCAAAATCCTAAGCGACGATTATTCAAAAAGAAGAAAATTTTAAGTATGAAAATACTGAAACCGTTCTGGATTGGTTCACCGAGGATCGAGGGTCGACGGAATGTAATGAGTTAGCTTTCAATGAAATATTAAAAATTTTATGATAACTAACTCATATTAATTCATAAACCCAAAAGTCAAACCATTTTAACGCTTGAAAAATTAAAGTGACTGTATAAATTTTCTTATTGCAAAAACAGTGGTAAGAGTCAATGAGCTCGCATATTATACATAATACTATATTTTCTACATGATATCCAAAATAATATGAAAGCTAATGAAATGTGGTTAGTGGTTAAAAATTTCTTTAAATCTATTTCCTCTGTATTATACACCATTATGATAGTGTGAAATATTAAAAAATTTTTCATTATTTTAATTTTAATGCCAAAAATTTTTATTTGATTTAAAAAAACAAAATTTCTCTAATAAAATACATTAAAAAGGTTGGAATTTTCTTTTGCCATAGAAAATTATTGTGATGACATCTAAAATAAGTTTTGTACAAAAAAAACGAAGTTTCATGACTTCGTTATAAAGGATATTCAGCTGTTTTCTTTTCACGATTATTAAATTCCTAACTATAATATTAAAACTATGTACAAATATATAATTGCATTTAAAATTTTCGCGCTCTTTTGGATAAAATTCAACAATTTACTGTTAGGGGTTCCATAAGTAATCAGAGGAAGACAAAAAATAAAAAATATAAGAAGAAAATATTTCATTGCAATATTCTAAAACAATGAAAAATAAAATTTATTGGTCCGAAAAGGACATCCCTTTCTTTATTTGTTCAATTTTTTCTTTCTTATATTTTTGTTTTTCTTGAATTCTTATTATTCATATAGGGATAATAAATATATTTATGTTATATACGCGGTATACATTTATATTCTTTATGTAGCTATCGAAGTTTATGTTGAATATTACCGCGGAATATTTTTTGCGGATACGGATACGCTATCGTTCATTGATGCATACATACGTAGTTATATAAATACGATTTAAATACGAAGGAAAGAAAACAATAGAGATCAAAAGTGTAGAAAAAAAAGTAATAAAAATAGTTTTAAGGATAAATATATAAGAGCAAATCAAACGGGATAAGATCTAAAAATCAAAATTCTTATTATTTACCCGAAATTAAAGAGTTATTTTTAATTCTGCTCTTTAATAAAATTTATGTTTTTCCATTTCGAACAACCAATTCAGGACTCCTTAGTTTATTCAGAAAATTCAGTTCGATATATTATCAATTATATAAATTTAATATTGCTTTTCAATATTAATTTCAACTCGGTATAACGTGATCAGTATAAAGAAACCAAAAAAAAAATACTACTACCTAAAACTAAATTTAACTCCAGGAAGAAATAAACAGCGCTTAAACGTGGTTTGAATTACCCCTCCAAACATTGTTACGAAGTAATAAGGTAGTGCTCATGTTCGGGCGCCAGTTCTTCCATACCAAAATCAAAAACTAGATCATATCAATTCGGAATTGCACATTTTAACGAATCTTGCATTAAGCGGGGAATAAACAGCTTCTAAAAATACAATTAATTACCCACCAAATCAATTTTTATTATTTTTATTAATTGCTTGTTAAGTACTGAAAATGAGAAGCCCATGTTCGGGCGCCATTCACTTTGTACTAAAATACAATAGAGAAAATTGTTTTAAATTAAAAGATCCTATTATTTTTAGGAGACAATATTTTAATCCACCAATATATTTGAAAAAAAAAACAAACAAAAACAGATTTAATAAAGAATTTCAAAATTAAATCTTAAATTTAATCAAAAAAGAGTAAGAAATTATTTTTATATTATTTTGTATTATTTTTTTCTCTCTTCATTTTTTATCAATTGCCCTTTTATAAACATACACACATATATTATACAAATAAATCTTAAAGTGCCCTGAATTTATCCACACAATGTAATAAAACAAGAGAAAGAAAAACAACAAAAAATCATAAAAAAAATATTATTTTAAAGGTGTTAACAGCTGGTTGTGTGTCACCACGAAAAAATACAATAAATGAAAAGAAAGACAAAAAAAAATTCAATTTTAACAATACGGAAATAAAAGGAAATGGTTTTTTAAGATGTAAATAAACAGTTAAATAAATAATAAAAAGAAAGGATATAAATCTATAATCCATAAGAAAATATATGTGTATATGTATGTATGTTTGTGAGATACAAGTTATCATATATAAGATATAAAGAATACAGCGATGATACTTGAGAAATCATTGTTCATTGCTTTCTAATAATAGGAAGAAGAATGAATAACTATATATAGACTTAAGACCCTCATATCATATATACGTACTCTTCCGGAGAAGAACAAATACACAAAAGAAAAAGGTCCTCACATATTGTACAGGAATGTATATAAATTATCCTTTAACAAGAAATTTATGCATACATATTGGATAATATTAAAATAATTTATAAATTTTTAATGAAAAATAATTTATAGCATATAAGAAAAAGAAGAGCGCAGTCATTATATGTGTATGTAAGAAAATGTTACGCGTATATCAAGAATTTGTTATTAAATTGTAATTTAAATTAAACAATTGTAAATTAAAACATAAAATATTTGCCGCGTATAACTGGTAACCAACAACAAGAAAATCAAGATAACAGTACTCATTTGGAATTTACAATTAACCATAAAAAATGTTCTCATATTTTAAAAGTATGATTTATATATTT